CCCCCAGGTATCTGGAGAGTCCTGCCCCACTGGCCATGAAATCTGACCTTCGATTTGCACTGCAAGCAATTTAAGCTCAATTACTTTTTCTGAGTTTCTCCTGCCTTCACTCGGACACGCTGGATGTCGAAAGTGTAGGAGGTCCACCAGTCCGACCAGCTGAAAATGGATTCTTTCTCCCACTGCAGCGTCAGCATGAGGAGGTCTCCAATATTGACCTCGGTGTAAACCAGGAAAGAGGAGGTTTTGTTTGTGGAAATTTCAGGTCTATGGAGAAAAAAAGTTACAATCTGTGAGTGGGCTTTGTGTATTTTCCAAGATGGCCAAGTGTGCTCTATTTCACTCAAGGCCTGATCCAAAGTCCACCATAGTCTACAGTATCATGACAGGTATAGAGAAAGTGATTAAGGAGAAGTTATTTATGTACTTGTTCCTATAACATAAAAACTAGGGGTCACCAAATGAAATTAATAGGTAGCAGGTTTAAAACAAACAAAAGGAAGTTTTTCTTCACACAGTGCACAGTCAACCTGTGGAACTCCTTGCCAGAGGATGTTGTGAAGACCAGGAGTTTAACAGGGATCAAAAAAGAGCTAGATAAATTAATGGAGGTTAGGTCCATCAATATTTATTAGCCAGGGTGGGTAGGAATGGCATCCTTAGCCTCTGTTTGTCAGAGGCTGGAAATGGATGACAGAAGAGGGATCACTTGATGATTCCCTCTGGGGCACCTGGCATTGGCCACTGTCAGCAGACGGGATGCTGAGCTAGATGGACTTTTATTCTGACCCAATATGGCCATTCTTATATTCTTATAGTCAGTGACCAGCTACCCACTGACTTTACTTTGGGCCCTTTTAACCTATCTTTGCTCCCGTCTCTGTGTCAATCTGGCACTGGACAGCTCTTACACATCTCCCCATCTGTGCGGCTTTTGATGGATCCGCAATGGGCGACAAAACTCCATGTGAAGTTTCATGTAAGTCTTTGCCTATCACTCCACGAGCACATGAAATGAAGGCTCTAAAGTGGGAAAACAGTCCCGCCACTCTGGCGTAACAGCAAATCCAAGCTGTCCTAGTGTAAGCAGAACTCCCTGCGGCCTTCAGCAGGGAGCTTTGCTTAATGCCTGATGACACAATAAGGTCGTGAATTTGGCTTGGAGAATTTTGGATTGTGATGCGTCGCCAGCCAGACGTGACTTTTCTTGTTCACGTCTCTGTCGGTCAAAGTGGCCCTTATGGAAACTACACGCCCCAGCACTGCGTGGCTGACAGCTGTTATCTTAGCACCAGGAGCGCTCAATGCATAAGTCTCTACTGCTTGGGCAAGACAGCCAGGTTCTGTATCAGGGGCTAGAGCAGGTTCATACCCTCTGTGGTTTGGGCCTAGCGAGAGACCAGAAAGTGGGATGCACATGTGTCTGAATGGATTTCCACTGATACTTACAGTACCAAAGCAATGTTCTTGCTCTCAGAGGCAGTGCCATACAAAGAGACCAGGAATGGCTGATTTGTCTTGGTCACGTTCGCCTTTCCAAAAAAGTGAATCTTGACCTGGTAATGGAAGACTGGGTGGAGGAAAGAAGAGGAAAGGAAAATTCATCAATGAAACTAGGCAGCAGAGAGAGAAGGGGGTGGGAACTAGCAAACTCAACAGCTCTGCAAAACCCTGGGCACAGATCTGCCCGCCTTGCTCAAGCGCCACACACACCCAGGGTATGTCTACACTACCCCGCTAGTTCAAACTAATATTTTCGAGTTGAGAACCATGTACGTCAAGTTTTTCAAACAGCGCAGGCAGCGCGTTTAAGGGTATTTCCGATTTATGACCAAATCGAGTTATGACCAGGTGTTCGGAACGTAACCCGTTCGTAAGTCAGGGACTGCCTGTATGTGACTGTCAGTGCTGCTAGGCTTACCTAGCTACTGTTCCTCCCCTAGCTGAAAGCTTTGCGATTCTTTCCAACAATTTCCTTTTCAGACCCGCCATTGTGGCAATCAGAAAAAAAAAAAGTGTAGGTCTTGCCGTGACCAACCCTGGCACAGGCATTGCTGTATTGACTCTGGTGATTGCTCAGCTCAGAATGAGTCACTTTTTGGTTAGCATTTAGTTTTTCCAGCAAGAGTAAGAATTCATAGAATCATAAAACACTAAAACTAGGAGGGACCTGAAGAGGTCATGGAGTCCAGTCCCCTGCCCTCACAGCAGGACCAAGCACCATCTAGACCAATGTTTCTCAACCAGTGGTACGAGTACTCATAAGGATACTCGAGAGAAGTCTGGGGGTACATCAGCACAACTGAAATGTGAAGAAAACTGAATTTTTGTTTTGAGTTTTACAGCGCTTTATTATTGTTGTACTTTTTACACCCAAAAATTTCATCACCCGCCCGGCTACGATTAAGTTGTTTAAACAAATGTGTTGCAATGGAAGAAAAAAATTGTGTGTGTCTGAAAACTGTAGGTACTAGGTGATTTTTTTTTTAAAAAGGGGGTACTTTATAAAAAAAAAAAGGTCGAGAAACACTGATATAGACCATCCCTGATGGATGTCTGTCCAACCTACTCTTAAATATCTCCAGTGTTGGAGATTCCACAACCTTCCTAAGCAATTTATTTCAGTGTTTAACCACCTGGACAGGTAGGAATTTTTTCTAAACCTCCCTTGCTGCAGTTTAAGCCCATTGCTTCTTGTCCAATCATCAAAGGCCAAGGAGAACAATTTTTTTCCCTCCTCCTTGTAACACCCTTTTAGGTACTTGAAAACTGCTATCATGTCCCCTCTCAGTCTTCTCCTTTCCAAACTAAACAAGCCCAATTCTTTCCATCCTCAGTCAGATTTGGTTTGGAAAAGAAAGAGATGGGAAAATCCAGAAAGGCAGACTGTTCCAAGCCGAGTAACTGACTAGGTTGGCCAGGCCTTTTTCCCTTTGGATCTCTTAGCAGTTTGTTACGTCAACTTCCCCACCTTCCTCTTCTAAAGGGAAAACCTCAAAGATCTTCTAAAGGGAAAACCTCAAAGATCTTCACCCACTACTAACACCAGCATGCAAAGAAGCAAGATCATCATTCTCCTCCCACATGACCCAGTGTAAACAAAACCTCTTTCCTGCAATGACGTGGCTGCTACCTACCTTTGTAGGGCATTTGAGAGCGAGTCTTCAGATACATTTTGGTGTTTCTCTTGGCTCTCACTTTGTTGACCGTATAGCCTAGATTGTTGCAGCGGTTCTTCCGACAGCTGAGACACAACCCCTTCTCAAAGGTTTCCTTTGCGTTGCACCGGTAGGCCACGTTTGTCTTGTCTTTGTACAAGAGGGAGTCGATGAAGAGGTGGATAGAACGTTCGTGAGAGCATTTCACCAGCTGATCCACATCTGTGAAAGGAAGAGAATCAGATAACTGCTCTATAGTGGCCAAGGATTCATCTCCATGGGATCTGAAGTAAGAATTAGCAGCTCAGGTAGACGTAGACATGCTAGCTTTGATTTAAGCTAGCTCAATACAAATAAAGTAGAGGCCAGGCAGGTGAGTTGCCCATCACAGTGTTCCCGGTAAGCTGAACACTTGGGCAGCCACCCAGGAGAGAGTCAAATGCTGCCCATCTGATTCACAGAGCACTCACAGCAAGCAGCATGTGTTTCTACGGATGGTGCACATCCACACATGCCTTGGTACACATAACAAAATGTATTCTGCACATAAACTTAAATGAGAGGGAACACTGATCCCAGCACCCACACCAGGCCTGGTTAGTCAAAGATGGCTTACATATGAGCTGAAACACACATTTCCAGAGGCAGCGTAGCCCAGCCCTTCCAGAGCTGGTGAAAGCCTCGTTTCCCACCCCCGCCCTAGATCCCTTGGACTTAGCTTTCTTTTTGCAAAGAAGCCTTACCTCCGAGGCCTTTTTCTGCAATCAGGCGCAGGGCTTCGCCTAGGTTACAGCCTGGCTGGAAACCTCCTCCATTTGGGTAGATGTCAATATGCCCAACAGGCTTTTGTATCCCAATGCTGCGATCTGGAGACCCCCTGGTGTAGGTGTGTAGGACATCCACAAAATCAGCATCGTCCGGGGACAGGCGCGTGGTAGCTTCGGCATATTCAAAGTTAGGTCCAGCTGGATCTAAACCTTGATGGGAGTAAAAATCCCAAAAGCAGTGGATTAAACTGATGCAATCTGTATAACAGTCTCCAAACTCTGGGGAGCCTCAGTCTCAATGTGGTTCTGTTTGCATGGCCGCCTCCTTCAAGACATTAATGACAGCCCACATGCATGTATGCGAAAGCACTAAATACAGCCATTAGCACTTCATTACTACACAGAATATGGTGCATATAAAAGATGTGTAAAGAAAAAAGGCACTGCAACTTGTGCGTGTTTGCAGTATTTATCGCTGCGGGGGAAAGACTTTTCTCAAAGCGTTTTCCCATTTTCTCAAGATTTTGAGGGGTTTTTTAAAGCAAAATGCCAAAAAAAAAAAAAAAAAAAAACCCTGAATCACTTCAACCAGATCAACTGCTGGCACAAAAATGGGTCAGGGGAGACCGAATAATGAAAAAAAAAATTGTCCATAACGCTGTTATTAAAGACATTTCAAAATGGCCTCAATTTCAAAAATCAAAAGAATGACTTGCTCTAGCAGTCAATCAAAACTTCAGTTGTGGCACTTAAAGAGCACACAGCCCGTTCCCTTACTGGGCAAAATCCCATCACATAATGGCAAACGTATCCAGAACAGATGGTTAATCCTGATAGGACAGTTCTACATTTAACTCAGGGGACTAGCACCTGGGCATGAGCATCAACGCTGCAGATCTCTAACCAAGTTACTGTGTTCTCAGGTGACCAGATAGCAAGGGTGAAAACTGGGATCAGGTGGGGAGTAAAAAGAGCCTGTATAAGAAAAAGACCCAGATATCGGGATGTCCCTATAAAACTGAGACATCGGGTTACCCCATATGCTGTACTCCCACGGGGGAACACTAGGAATTCTGGGGGGCATCTCCCAGGATTCCTTGTGTTGCAGTAAATTGAGCTCTCTCCAATTCTTTCCTAGTGAACCATGAGAAGTCTTGTTCTGTCTTTCAGGGCAGAAGTGGGTAAGGAGAGAATGGCATTGTGGGAAGGCTCCGGAGGACTATCGGCACTCCAGCAATTTAGCTTGTAGCCCTCGCGACAAAGTGGACGGGTCACCAACCCACGTCAAAGCAGCACTTGTGATCTAACCAAGAGCCCCAGTGGGACCAACTAACTTGTGTGTAAAGCAACACAGAACTCAGCTGAGAGGGTTTTGTGGGTGGACAGGAGAGAGGTTGGCGGCAATATCACAGGAGGAGACTGAGCTAGCTCTGCAGTGCAGACCCACAAGGGTTTCTTTGTACGCCCAGTGCCAAGCACGGTGGGTAGGGATGTGAATGACTACTCAACCAAGCAAATGCTTATCGGACAGTCGACAGGCTAGTTGACTAGTTGCTTTCCCCCGCTTGCAGCCGCTATCAGAAAGAGGTAGCGGGAGAGAAGCAGAAGGGGTGCCTCAAAACGGCAGTGCTGCGGGAGCACAGGGCCAGACCCTGGGCTCCACGTGGTGCTGCCGCTTTGAAATGTCACGTGCATCCCAGCACCAGCTGGGAGTCCCCAGCTGGCCCAGGCTGCATGCAGTGTTTCCAAGCAGCAGTGCCACATGGAGCCCAGGGTCAGCTGTGGACTCTCCCACTGACTCTGGGCTCCAGGCAATGCTGCTGCTTTGAAACGCTGCATGGAGCCTGACGCAGGACTCCCCAGGTGTTTCAAAGCGGCAGCGCAGCATGGAGTCTGGGGTCAGCTGGGGACTGCTCGAGCCCCCTGCTGGCCCCATGCTCCCCGCAACACTTCGAAGTGTAGCAAAGGCAGAAGCGCCCTTATCGACTAATCAAATAGTCGATGCAAATTGCATCGACTATTCGATTAGCCAAATAATCAACATTTTACATCCCTAATGGTGGAGCTCCGGTCTCTGGTGCCATCATCGCACAAGCCATTAACAACAATAGCTCTAGCAACTCAACAATAACAGGCATAAAGTGTAGTAGGCAGAGTCACCATTGTTAAAACCAAACCAATATACGAGGTAGGAGAGAAACGGGTCCTGTGTTCCCGCTTTGTGAGCGCACAGACTGATGAACAGCAGTTTTCCTTACCAGTGATCCTGTTAATCTTATTTTTGGTCAGACTCCCCGCAATCCCAGCAGCATGGGCCCCAAGACTATATCCCAGCAAATGCAGGTTGTCAAGCGGGTAACTGAATTGCTCCTACGGAAGAGAGGTTTTTCCTTCAGTTTCAATTCCAAGGGGGCAAAACCAAAACAATTAAGACAGAAAAATTATTTGAAAGATTGCCCTGTACTGTAACCCTACACTGTTCCTGGCTGAAGACGACACAGTTCGATGTTTGTTTCAGTGGAGACAGGATTAGGTGCCATGTGCAAGATTAAGGGCAGATTTTGGGGCTTGCCTGGATGATCTTTGCAGCCCCTCTCTGCAGTTCTAGTTCAGAGGCACACTGGGCAGATAGACTCCCACTGAAAACCTTCTCCCAATGCATGTTGTATTGGCCGTTGGTGTTCCCTCTACATTTTTTATGCCTGTGTGCAGAATGAATTTTGTTACGTGCACCGATATGGAGATGATGTGCAACACATCACTTCCATATTAATGCACATAACAAATTTTATTCTGCACATGGACGATCTATGGCAGGGATAGGGTTTGGAGTGTGGAAAGGGGCTCAGGTTTGGCAGGGCCGAGGGCTCTGGCTTGGGGTGTGGGCCATGGGGTGGGGCTGGTGAGGAGATGTTTGGGGTGCAGGAGCAGGCTTAGGGCAGGAGGCTGGGGTGGGTGTCTGGGGTCTGGGCAGAAGTTAGGGTTTAGCAGGGGCTCAGGGTTAGGTTGTGGGGTCTCTGTGGAATTAATTGTGTAGTGGGGTTGATCCAACATCAGTCCCTCTTACTGTGTGCCCTGCCTTAGCTGTACCTAAACTCTTAACTTTTCCTGATGACTCCAGCCCCCCCCCCCCCCTTTCAGCTCCTCTCTGAATTCCCTTGGGTTCACTGGCATCTTTTGAGTATTGAAACAATGACGAGTGAACACACTCTCCCTGCAGTGCTCTTTCCAAAGCAGTTCAGATGTGTGTGTGTGCGCACACTACAGGGAACGTGTATCTGTTGCTAGAAAAATCACACACATTTTCTGAATGGCCTGAAATTCCTCTTGAAAGAAATCTGGAATGGAGATAGAGCAAGCTAAACTGAACCATTAAACTCTTCCAGCTCCTAGCATTTACGCACTCCATGGGCCCTAGCCCTCTGTGCAAGTGCTCACCTCCATCCAGTCGATAAACCTTGCTACATCTTTTCCCACCAGTTTAGTGTAGGCAGCAGAGACCGGATAATGTTGCTGGGCACGACTTAGCCAGTCTACAACTATGACGTTAGAATCAGGTTCTCTCTTGTACAGAGCATCCACCAGCTTTGGGACCCAGCTCTCATACATCCCTGTTACCTGAAAAGAGATTTTGCATTAGTGTTTGTATTGAAGTTGAGCCTTGAAGCCTCTGTTAAGATTGGAGTCTCATTTGGCTTCATGCTGCACATCACATAGCAAGAGAGAGTCACCAACCCCACCTGCCAATGCTAAAGGAGCCGTACAGTGAGAAAAGTAAAACCTTTTTCCTGTAAACACACTTCTGTTGCCGGCTAAAGTTTCAGGAATGTGGAGCCCTGCCAACCCACGGATGTCAGCTTGATACCCGCATCTGCGGATCTTTGAATGGAGATACCCATGACTCATTTTTCTGCAGATACGGATGCGGCTCCAAATTTGGCGTCTGCGCAGGACGCTGCAGAAATGCATTTCACTGGATGGCACTGAAATGCACTCGGCTGATGCAAGTAGCTCCTTGCAGAGTCTGATGCTGCAATTGTTCTGAGCGAGAAACACCCTGGCATCAGGAAGGAGTTCTGAGTTCAGCTGAGCTGTAAGAGAAGTGCCTTCTTACCGTCCATCCATGGATCACCACAAAGGTTTTGCTGGTATGGTTGAAGTTGCATCGTGCCAAGGTGTCGTCCTGACCAGGGACCAAGTAGCAGATGTCCTCATCCGGTTCGTGAGCTGTCCTTAAGGAGAATTTGCTCTCAATCCCCTCAAAGTCTCTCTTTGTTTCTATGGTGCTTCCTGTAGTAGAGACAGCAAATTGGGAATAGGCATGAAAACTATTCTGTTCTGCTTTAGGCAATTGCTTAATTTAAAAAAAAAAACAAATATTTTAATGGTCACAGATCTAAAGAGGGCAGAGGATCAGGTAATATCAATTTCATCCTACTAAGGCCCATTCCCTTGGCCGAATAATGGCCAATTATAGGAGTTGTTTTAGCCATTTATTTTAATCCTAACGAGTAGTCCTGTGGCTCCTTACAGGCTAACAAAAATATATAGTATCATGAGCTTTTGTGGGCAAAACCCACTTTATCATCTGATGATGTGGGTTGTGCCCACGAAAGCTCATGTTACTATATATTCTTGTTAGTCTCTAAGGTGCCACAGGACTACTCGTTAGGATTAAAATTAAAATTACTAACACGGCTACACCTTTGAGACTATTTTAATCTTGTAATAGAGAAGAGCTAAAACAAGTGGATCTGAAAAGCAATTAGCCCTGCATTGTGGAGAAACATCCAACGGTTTCAAAATTGGGGGGAGCGGGACAATGAGAAGTCACTGAGTTCCTAATAAGCATGATATGATTGCTGATGTGTCTCCCCCATAATAGTTATCATGGAAATCATTTCTTAAGCAATAGCAAACTGTGATTATTCAGTAAGTCATTAGTAGCAGCAAATTCACTTAGGCTGTTATGCAACGTGGGTGTCTGGGTTTGTTCAGACAAAAGAAATAGTGAGAAGGTCAAAAGCCAGCCTTGGGAATTAAAGCGAGCTAACAAAAGAGAAGCCTGTGTTTCAAAGGCAATATTGCGTCAGACAATCTGATAACCAACTTTCTAAGAAAAGCTGCTCTCTATCTAGGGCTATATCCATCCGAGGGAAGGAAAAGGACATATATGACACAGCATGTAGGCTGCGGTGCTTGCAAAAGTCAGCTCTTTCATGGAGAAGTTCCTCTGCTTTCAGAATAAACATAGAAATTGGATGTCACTTTATGAGACGAGAAAGGAGGCGAGTGAGGGCGATTTGGAATTCACACTCAGGGCAGAGTAAAAAACCTCTGACGTTTAGAATAGTCTCCTAAAAACAGCAAACTAATAATGTGGCCCTTTTTCAGGCCTTTATGTATGAAAGCTGAACTCAGCAAAGCACTTCAGCGTGTGATTAAATGCACGCTTTGCTGAGCAGAGAGATACGTAGGCCCATGCGAAAAATGCTTTACTGAGTAGGGGCCTTCATTGGCAAATTCCCTGTTAGCAAATATTGATTTCTCCTCATCTAACCCACAGAGGCTAATGCTGCTCTCAGTTTTATTCACCTGTGTGTTTGCTGGCACCATTCCCAGCAGGATTTCACAGAGTTCTGGGAACGTAATCATTAAAAGCTCAGAGCAGCTGCAGGGAACACAAAAGTACAGGGAGGATGGAACTGTTGCAAGGCACCCACAAAGTATGGCCGTTTTGGCTTGGTTTTGTTTCTAAGACAGAAAGTTAATTTTCTGGAAGAAAGATGTTAAGAATAGGAAAATATTTCTTGCCTGGTATCTATATTTTTCTGTAGTACCAGCCTGTAAATGTCATGAATTATATATGTAATTCCATGTTTTATATAAATGGTCTGATTCAGCTAGGTAATTAAGCAAGTTCCTAACTTTAAACACAAGTAGTTGTACTGAAGTTCATGGAATTCCTCATGTGCTTAAAGCTATATCCGTGGCTAGGATGTGTATGTTCCCTGAAGTCCAGTCACTATTGTGACTGTGGGTGACAGCACCCAGCATCACAAATAAACAATGATCCAGCCATATTAGCAGTATAGGCCAAATCACTTTCAGTGCAGTAGAACTGTCTACACTAGGGCATTTGACATTTGTATACAGCATTAAATAAAAGTCAGACCACAGCTGACATTGCAGTATCAGTAAAAGTTGCTTATGTAGACTTAGCTTTTTTTTACTTATTCCTTATCATTTGCACCCTTGGGTTGTTTGCTTTTGTTTTGTTTTGTTTTGGTGTGGGTTGGTTTTTTTATGGTTTTTTGCATGTACAGCCCCTTCAGAATTTCACTCTCTCCCCACAAATGTTAATCATCTCTTCAATCCATTACTCTCTTTCTGGGGGAAAAAAAGTTCCTGAGAGTAACTAGGATCATTTTTCTTTCTTTGTTTCCTTCAGCCCAGGCAAAGAAAGCCCTAAAGCCTGAATAGTTCTTAGTTAAACATCAAACTGTTTAACTTTCCCCTCTGTGATGAATCAATGCAGTTGTAACAAGAAATAAAAGCCACTTTTTCAACCATGAAACGTGCAAGAACCTCATAACATTTTTACATATGTAAATTTCCTGTTACACCCAGGAAGGCAAACAAGCATACTCCACCTGTATTCCCTTTATACTGTACTGTTTCCTTTGTATTTAGCTTCCACATGGCAATTCCCTGCCGCATTAAGACTATTTGATAGTTATCCCAAATATAGACCAAACGCGCATCTACTTAGAAGTGTGGCATTTCCCGTATGTAAGCTACTATTTGTTTGTAGCTGAGACTATACCCTCTAAGAAATACTTTATATATTACCTCATCCGCCTGGTCTCTGATATCCTGTGGCCAACACAACACCTGCATGGAATTCTCCCTCTAGGCTGGAATATACTTAACTTCCAGGGATGCTGTTATACAGAAGTGTATATGATGATTAATGAGCTCAGCTTGCATTTCTGTAGCACCTTTCACTGGAGGAGCTCGACGTGCATTACAAGCATTCAGCCCCCTCAACTTTCTAAATAGGGACCATTTCATCCACCTCTGAAATGCAGCCGCCTCTGCGCCCACATCAACTATGTAACCAGGCAAAGCAACCTGCCTTGGGTGAGAGGAGATGAAGATGAGTCCAGCTGAAATTGCAGAGGGAGAGCCAGGAAGTCAAAATGAATAGCGATACAGCTCCACTGCCAGCATTAGCAACCTGTACTTATAGTAAGTGCTGTTGACTGTTCAGTAGCCACAAATAGTTAGCAACTCAGCTGACGGACAGCATCTTCAGCAGCGAAGTACGCCCTTGGACACTAGATCTTTACTTTGTCAGAGGACACTATGTTTGTGAGAGTCACCAGCAAAGTTCCTTCTAATCTTTTTCATCCCTGGGCAGATTTTTTCCATCTACCTGCGGAATAATTTTATATGAACCAAGACATGCGAATATGTACCACCCATAGAAACCGATCTAGCTCTGGGCAATCTGCTAATTAACTGGGTGGCATGTGTATCCCTCCTGAGCAGCTGCACAAGTGCACAGCTTGCAGGGATCACTGATCACCAGTATTTACTTCCTGCACTACTGAGGTGCTCATTAGAGATCTTCTGGACTTCCCTTTGTTTGGCATGCAAAATCTGATTAGATCGCAGCATAAGATGATTTGGCTGCAACATATCATGAAACTAGAATTCCCTACCATTACTATTCCTTTCCCTGTCTTACCTTCCAAACTCATGTGTGCACCCGCGCACGTGTGTATCCATTCAACGCACCACACACTCAGAATCACAGAAATACAGGCTGCAAACACCTCAAGAGGCCACCCAGTCCTCACCCCATACTGCAACAGGACTAAGTTTATATTAATTTAGCTGAATTTGGCACAGGATGGGTGTGAACTAAAATGGATCGAAATCAGGTTTCAATCAAATGAAGGACCAATTTAAGGTAAGAGGGTGCAACTTTGCTTTTTCGACAACATTTTTTTATAGGGACTAGTGACTTAAGTGCTCTTTAAAAGCAAAATTATTCCTTTTTAAAAATTAATATATGTTATGGTCCTGATTCAGCACGGTATGGAAGCTGTATCTTTCTGACACATATCTTTAAAGCCCAGACTGTTACAAAATATAATTATCTGGCCTTTATTATTGGGGTAGGGCTAGCAAGATGCTCTATAAAGAAACTCAATTTTCTTGCCCTGAAATTCACTCTGGGCTTTTTATTGCACACCTTTTAATCTTAATACTTGTCTGGGAGCCAATCAAAATAGCAAAGTCTACAATGTTTTACTTACTTTATTTTTGAAATTGAAGGAAGGAGAAAGGTTACAAATACCAGCCCAAGTGCAGACTGCCTAGAAATCTTGTTCCCTCTGAAGTCAAGGGCAAAATTACCATTGACTTCAACAGCAGCAATTCATTCAGGCTATCTCTACACTACCTAGTTGTTCGGGTGTTTTTTTAAACAGCTGTTTTTCCGAAAAACACTTCACTTATGTCCACACTGCAGTCGCATACTTTCGGGAAAAAAATCGAAAGAACAGAGGAGTTTTTATGACATTGGTAAACCTGTGTCTACAAGGAAGAAGCCTTTTTCTGAAAGAGCTCTTTCGGAAAAAGGCGTGTGTGGACAGGGAAAAGAGAGTTCTTTCAAAACAAGAGGAAAAAACACAGGTGCCCTGGTGGCCACTCTGTCCATAGTAATCACAGCTTAAATGCGAGATAGTGTCCATTCAGTGTGGACGCTCTCTTTCAGAAGAAGTTTTTTCTGAAGATCTCCTCCGGAAAAGCCTCTTCCAAAAGAAGCCTGCAGTCTAGACACAGCCTCATTGACTGTATCGCTACTGTCAGGTGAACTGGGAATTGAATTTTGAGCACGTTGAACGACCCCCATCTAGGTGTGGGATATAAAGCATTGTAAGATCTAAATAATTATCCACTATGAATCAATGGATTTGCACTGCAATTTAAGGAAGGAATCCTGGATCAACAGGAATTTCATCCTTTGCCACGTTATGTACACAGATGTGGAAATTCACATTGCTAGATACGTAAAACATCATGGGATCCTGGCCTGGCCCAGTTCCATTGAAATCAACACACACATGCTCAAATATTTATACAAACAACAGTGAAAGTTCTGGTGAGATAAACCAAAGCACAATAAAACATCTCTGATCAGTCACCTTGAATACTCTCCCCTCTCCAAACTTCTTAGAGCTCAGCCCACGTTCCCTAACTATGTAAATCAGACACCTGAAATGCCTTTGCACGGCCTAAAGACAAAAAATCATCATTGGATGGAGAAGAGTGGTTCAAATAATAAAAATATCACACTGTCTGCCACAACGCCACGTAACAACCCATAAAGCAGCTACTGTTTAACTACAGTGTAAGAGCTTCACCTTAGTTTATTTATCCCAGGAAGTAAAAACTGTGGCCTTGATCCTGCAATAAACCAGAGCTGAGCTAACTGCAGCACTTACAACAGCGCTCCCTGGGGCTCAGCCGGACTCCCTGTGGGCACAAATGTCGGCACACATGCTGGCTCGGAGCCTGTGGAATGACTGCGTCTCTCAAGTGCATCTGGTATGCTTGTAAAACGATACACTGGGAGCGTCTCTCCAACCGTCCACAATGCTCAGCGGTCCCAGCACCCTAAAACACTGTCAAGACTCTCTCTTTAAGACGGAGCTGAATTGATACAGCTATGGGGAGTCTTCTACAATAATAAATACAAGGGCCCTTTTTTTTATTGATGCCTAAGGGAGTCTACAGACAGGAGAGTTTTCCAAATATGAGATTCTCTCACACACAATAAATCTATCAGGATCCTATGACTGCACTGTGCAGTTAGCTCTCCGGTATGCCATCTGTCTGGAAAGTTTATACAGTGGCATAACACGGTATTATGGCAGAACAAGTGGTGCCATCTGAAACCAGGACCCCGTTGTGCTAGGTACTGTATATACACACAAAGTAAGGGTTCCTGACCCAAAGGGCTTACATGCCTCACAGACCCATTTTACAGAAGGGTAACTGAGTACTGATAGCCAAAAAATGTATTTTATTTACAATGACAAATATAAATATCACTGCGACATTTTCTCACCAAAGAGTTCAGGGTCTTGACAAATACCTGAAAAAAATAAGTACTGTTTGTCAGTCAAATTGAGAGAGTCAGGGTGGGCATGGCAGTATCTTTTGTTGGCCCAGCTTCTGTTGGTGACAGAGACAAACTTAGATGCTCCATGACAGGTCTGATGAAGAGCTCCGTGGGGCTGAAAAGCTTGTCTCTTTCATGGACAGAAGTTAGTCTGGAGACCAACATGGCCGCAACACTACATAAAAAGTCACAGAGCAGTTAGAGGACGTGAGCAAAATTACACATCAAGCCCAGTGAACCCAAGGAGCCTATATTTTAGTTACTACAGATTGAACCTCTATAGTCCGGCACCCTCAGGACCTGACCACTGCCGAACCACAAGAGGTCAATATTGTCTAGCAGCATTACCAACACTGCCACTGCTTGCTGGGCTGTTAGAGGACACTGATGGGTAAATTAGAGCTAAATCAGAGCACAGAACACTGAGAGCCAGAACTAGTGGCTATAAACAAACTTTATGGGACCACGGGAAA